TTCTTTTTATTTCGAAAATTTTTGAAGAGACTTACATTTTTGGTAGTAGATATTCAAATACGTAATACTTCAAATTCAAAAAACTGTATAGTTAGTTTATAGTGAGAAAAACTGTACTTTTGACGTTTTTTCAAAATTTTGAGTCATAAACAAGCAAAATAAAATGTTCTGATCTTCTTTCATAAAAAATGAAAATTGGATAAAAGAAACAAATTTATATACCATGAACCGGAAATAAGTGGCAACGTTTTTAATAAAAAATTTTTGAATTACAAGTGGAGACTCGCCCGCCAACTGTTGATTTTTTTCACCTTGTCAAAAAAATTACCACCTGACTAGGTCACAACCCTCGTAAACTCACTTTTCTGGTGCATCTGATTATGTTCGTTCATCTTGGCCTCGTACCCTTGCTTGTTGATCCCCATCGTGTTCCTCGTCCAGTTGGGGTAATCGTCTTTGGCATGTTGGCCGCACTGCAATCAAAGAAAAAAAAATCCCCATCAATACGGTTTATAAATATTTTTTCCCGGGGTTGGAAGAAACGTCGGCTTAGGAAGGGGGGGCAATGTCGAGCGTTGTCTGGTTACCATGCCGACGGCAAGGTCATGTACTCACCCCCGCCAGCTTGATATAACGACCCCTAGACAGTACACGGCCGCCTCCTTGATTATTATTGATAATATGAATTTTTTACGGGGTGCTGCGCTCTCGCGGCCGGAGAACGCAACACGCGCCCCCTGAGGGGGGTCAGGGCCGGACTTTAAAATTCGGACACGTCGCACCGACTTAATTATTCAGAGAAACGGCCTTTGTTAATAATTCACGAGAGAATGACAGGGTGGTGAGACGCCCCCTATGACCCCCCTGAAATTTTCGGTGACGTGGCCCTAATTAAAAAATTATAAAGGTGTACTATCACAACGCGACTTGAATTAATTCCAAATTGGGATTTCACGTGCAAAATTGGGCAAAATTCCACCACATTTCACCCCTTATCATCTGATAACAACCTAAGAAAAGCTATTTTAGTAAAATGAAAATAAATTATTTAAAATGTGACACGTATGCTTATCAAAAATGCAAATGTTATTTATAGATGTCACTGCAGCTGCGACACAGGGTGTCCAACTGATAAAAAACCAACAAAATTAAAACCAGATGCTAAAAATAAAGGAAACAACTGCAAAGTCGAGATGAGTCTGAGAAGGGTCGAAATGAATAATTAGGGAATTTACTTCTCCCCCAAACTTCAATTTTACACTTATCAATGATCACCCTTTGCGCTTTCTAATGTTTTTGCATACGCAGGTGGCAAGTGATAACAATTTTGTGAATTTTTTAATTATTAATGCTCGATGAGGGGTGGAAATTAGATCAAAAAGGGGTGAGCGGAATTATTTGAATATCATTAATTGCATCTGCTAATTTTGACAGATGTTTTAAAAAAAATAATTCAATTAGGTAACTAGAATATGTATTTTTATAGCAATTTTTCTTTTACAATAATAAGTCAAAAATGACAGTTTTAGGTATCTTTTTTTATTTTTTTAATCTGATTAATTTAATTTAAGTCAATACGAGTATGTAAAAAACA